TGTCTAATTTTTTCAAGAGGTTTAAGATTAGCCTAAAGGGAACATAATCCCAGGGTTCTGTAGGAGGACAATACTGGAAGGAGGCTGGCAGTTGTATCCTTCTCTGCAGCATCCCATGGACTTCCACGTTCGTGCTCCAATCCACATGTCACCAAAGCAGGGATCTGGGGAGGGTATCAAGGGTTGTTCTGAGGGGAGCCTTCAGAACAGGTCTGGGAGCCCAGGAGGAGCCTCACTGAAGTAGGGTAAGAAGTCTTAGAAAAGTGAGCAAAGAGAACTTGGGGGTGGTTTGAGAGAGAGGAGGAACATAGCTGCCAGCAGAATCCTAATTGCACGAGAAAGAGCAAGCACGTTACTCTAAAAGGTTAAAGTTGGGTCAGTGGAGGTCAGGGAGACAGAGTTGGCTCTTTTTTTTTCTCCTTTCTCTTCCTCCTAATTCCATTTAAAGGAGAAAGTTAAAAGCTGTTTTATTTTATTTTATTTTATTTTATTTTTTGGTCACAGGAGAATGTTCTGCACATGTAGGCAGCCAAGCATAAAGTGAATGACCACTTGGTGGGGATGTTGTAGAAGAGATGGCATCCCCGATGGTCTGGACCTGATGGCAGGCGTGGTTGCCCTCCATTCTGAGATTCTAGAGTGTTTGAACTTATTATCATAGTGGGGGACTACTGAACGTTCAAGAATTGGGTGTGTGTGTTTAGACACTCTCAGAATGAATTTTATATGGTCTATTGTGGTGGTAGTAATGGAACATTAAGTGTGAACACGTTGTGTTTATGGATGACCCATGGAGGTAAATTAGACATCTTTTTAGTCAACAATACAACTGCATGTTGTTGGAATGACTTTGGCTCCTTTTTCTCTAAATTAATTACTCAGGTTATGGAATCAACTAGAGCCTGAGTCAATTAGAGAACTGAGTCAATTGAAGAATCCATTAAGATAAGAACATAACAAATGTCAGACCATTCTTAATCCTTGACCCTAATTTCTGGGAAAAAAAAAATTCATTTCTTTCTTTCCTTCTCTCCTTCCAAATTAGTAGATAGAACATATAAACATTCCTTTCCTACGCTTCCTTAGAGCCAATACTCTTCTAAATCTGGAAAATTCATTTAGGATAAAATATAACTGAGTGATTCAGCCTCGTTTCTTTTACAGAAGTGGACCTCAGCCTTATCAGTTTTTCTTTCTTGTGCCTTTTCCAATTTTCTTAATCTAAGTTCTTTCATTTTCTCCCATGATCTTGCATCACACCTTGAGTTTTGACTAGAACCTGGTTACTCAGAAGTTTACCTTTCCCCCGATTGATGGCAAAAAGGAAGCTCTGTTTTGTCTTCTCCATGTGAGGAAGTATATTCTACTGAAGCGACAGAGAGAAAAATGTGAAACATGCAACAGCCAGTCTCAAGGAGTTTGTGCTTCTATATGACGTGGTGCTTTGGATATTCTGAGAAGCGCATTTACTGGAAAGTAGTTACTAACACAGGAAAATTCATTGCATACAAATATACATGTATGTGTATGTTTTCTTTCAATCTTTCAGCACCACTATTTATTCATTTTTTAAACCTAAGAGCCAGGTGAGTTTCAGAGAATAAAAAACATGCCGGCAGGTTGCTGAGTCAGAACATGAAGCCAGGAAGCTCTTCGACTCTAGGGTGTGTGCGCCAACGTGTTCGGGGAGCAGAAGTTACTGTGTGTCTCTGCCAGGGGGAGTCTGGGTAAGATGCAGAGCTCCCTGGTGCATTTTACTGGTTTGATTATTAGTTACAGTGCATTTCTCCTTCTCCAAGGCAGTCCACAACTTTCCAACTTCGAATTCGTGACGGGGCCATGATTTAAAGTTTCAGGCCTATGATTTTGAGATGGTGGCTCTCAGTGCTTACCACAACCTCCCAGCTCACCACACAGCAGCCAGCTCTCCAGATTTCTTCCAGGATGATGAGGAGCTTTCTCCCCACATGCAGCCCAACTCCATGGGAAGACATTAGCAGTGACAAATGACTGGGAATGAACACTTCAGTCTGAGGTAAATATGAACCTTTGCTCTTCCATACAAGGAAGCCATTCCAGAACATTCTCCACGAGAAAACTTGGAATGCATTAGCTGAACAATTTCAGTCATTACTATTAGCCTTCAGGAGGATTTCTCCAACTGCTAAGCAGGCAGTGGGAAGTGTTATTTCTTGGAGCCAAGTCTATTTACATTTATATTTATAGATATTTATATTTATTTCCTTTGGCAGACATGGACAAACACATTTTTGAAAAATACTTTCAGTCTGTGCAAAAACAAGCAGAGTATGCTTTTAAAAACATGCACCACAGAAAGGATAATAATAGCTTCCATGTCTGAGGACAACAGACAGGCATAAAATATAAAGGAATTATTTTATCATAGACAAGAAGAATTGCTGTTACAGCAAATTTTGACCCTGTCAGAGTCTGGATAACTCTTAGGTTTAAAACTCCCACTCCACAGGCCTCAGTCCACAGAGCAGATAACTGATCTGAGGCTTAGCAGTACTGGCAAGGTGGTGCATTATGGGATTTAGCTCTAGAGTGCCTGCTCCCCAAAGAAAGAACTGCAGGAATTTTAAGAACTTGCATCAATTCCCTGGTGTAGAAGCAGTATGTCGAAGTGTATTTCAAATAAATCCTCAACTCAACACATAAAGCTGCAGTTCCACCATGCCTTTCAAGAGAAAGTGGAGTATGGGAACCAGGCCAGACAGACCCTCCTGGCCCAAATCCACTGCTCATCTCTGTTGCCCAGCCAGTCCACTCTAGCCACATGCAAGAGGCCATCTTTGTCACTGAGTGTTATGTTCACCTCTTCTCCTACCTACCCCGCTACCACATGAATTCCAGCCTCTGGATTTTTTTTGCCTCCCCTACTAAGAACATATAGCAATTTAGATGACTTCTTCAGACATTGTTGATTGATTCTAATGACAACACTTTTAAAGCCTTTATCCTCAAGCTTTGAAAAAAGAAATCCTCAATAAAGCATAGATTGGAACTGGCATTTGTAAATTCTCAGTACTTGAAAAAAAAAACCTAGTGGCAGAATAATTTGGTTACTTAAAAGAAGGTGTGCATTAATTAGGACGTGTTGGCATAGTAACCTCAGTCATGCGTTCCTGCTGTTGATTTTTCTTCAGGGTAGCCTGGGAGGGGGTTCCCCGTAAGTTGCTTTTCTACCCGCGTCGATAGAGAGAATGTGATTCCACAGGCTTAAGTGAATAAAATGGGACAGCAACTCAAATTTCCAAATTTGGCAGTTTATATTTTTGGTATCCAGAAATTTTAATGGTTTTAGTTCCATAATAATAGAGTACAAAGTGGATCTCACTGCCTGTAGAGTTTAACAGTGACCTTATTACTGTGTGTGTGGGTGCCATCTTGGAGACAGATGTCAGTCTTGGGTCCCCTAGGTACTGTCACTGCTGTCACTCTGGGGACCCAATTCTGGGTTGGCCAGTGGCATTATTCCTAACCATTTATATCAAATAATGCTGTTTGAACTCCTCCAAGCAGGGTGAAATGCCTCGTCTTCATTTGGGCTGTATTTTGGTATGTCTCCTCCTGACATTCGGTCTGTTATCTAACTGGGGTTAAATAAAGAACCAAATTATGGATATCCTGCTGTCTCATATTTGGGTCAGATCGTGTGTCTATGTACATGAACAGCTATGATACAGTCTAACTGTCTAATAGGTATTGTTGAAAATTACATAGCATAGGTTTGAAGCAAAGCCTATTTTTATTTTTGTGGATTTATGACAAATATAGCATTTCTTCTATTTGACTGAACTGATCACGGTAGTAGATTACAGTCCTCTTCAAACAATAATGATACCATGACTGTTTTTAATGATTTCCAACATAGGAAGAAAAACTTAGAACTCAAATCTCAGGGTGGGTGTGGTAGGAGACTTACAGTATAAAATCCATATGTTTTGAGAGTTCTTGTGCTATACTAGGTTGGGAGAACTCAGGTATGTTTTGGGTTAGTCCAGTCCCTCAAACCATTTCTTTCAAATGTTTTCTTTCAACCAAATCTGAAACACATTTTGCCAAAACCTTTTTTCCCCTAATTTCTAAAGCCATGTGTATTTAAAGGGACATTTAATCCATATGTTTTGGCTCATTTACACCGAAGTCATCAAGATATTGTTTTTAAGAGTTATTTGAGCTCCACAAAACCTATTTTATAAGTCTTTTCTTCCATAGTACTAGGAAGTTGTGTTTTGCTGGAAAAAAAATTTGACCCACAAAATAATTAAGTTTGGATGAAAATTGAGAATGTACAAGATTTTCAAGACCCACTAAACTTAACTGAGAAAGACAAGTACTTGCGTGTTTCCAGACACTTCTCATAAGCACCGACATGCTTTGACAGAGGTGCGAAACCTGACCATCTTTTCAATCTGTTTTTCACAGTTAAATGTCCAAATGCTTATTGTCCAAAATATCTCCTTTAGTGGGAGGGATAAAAGAAAAGTAAAAAATAAAAAGCATACAGAAAAGACTGAACTCTAAGCTCCTTTTGAGGTGATTGAAAAGCTGCAGGCTTGTGCCTAGCAGAGGTTTCCCCTCCTTGTAGTCTTCCCATGTCATTCTAGGGCCTGCCTCTCCGAAGGTCTCCCTCTGTGTTTCAGGGCAGTGGGGCGCTTCCCCCCATTACCTGCAGAACCTTCAGACTGTTCTTGCTGTGTGAAGGGGGGCCTCACGGGCGCTTGTTAGACATCTCGTGGGATTACTCATCTACAAAATAATTTCCAGGGTGTTTGGGACCTGAGGTCGTTTCTGGAGAGAAGGCAAAAACGTCAAGCATGTCTTATATAGGATGCGTGCAGAAAATATCTCTGAAGAGTTGGGAGAGCAAGAAAGCCCTCCCAGTAAGCAATGATGCAAAGTTATGATCTTGCTTTTTTGCAACGGGTTTGCCACAAGAGCACAGGTGTAGAGAAAACTAAATCCAAGCCAACATGGGAAAGGAAAAGACTCACATTAATATTGTCATCATTGGACACGTGGACTCTGGCAAATCCACCACCACTGGCCATCTGATCTACAAATGTAGTAGCATCGACAAAAGAACCATTGAAAAATTTGAGAAGGAGGCTGCTGAGGTGGGGAAGGGTTCCTTCAAGCATGCCTGGGTGTTGGACAAGCTGAAAGCCAAGTGTGAGCGTGGTGTCACCATTGACATCTCCCTGTGGAAATTTGAGACCAGCAAGTACTATGTGACCATCACTGATGCCCCTGGACACAGAGACTTCATCAAAAACATGACTATAGGCACATCTCAGGCTGACTGTGCTCTCCTGATTGTTGCTGCTGGTGTTGGTGAATTCGAAGCTGGTATCTCTAAGAACGGGCAGACCCATGAGCATGTCCTTCTGGCTTACACGCTGGGTGTGAAACAACTAATTGTTGGTGTTAACAAAATGGATTCCACAGAGCCACCCTACAGCCAGAAGAGATACGAGGAAATTGTTAAGGAAGTCAGCACCTACATTAAGAAAACTGGCTACAACCCTGACACTGCAGCTTTTGTGCCAATTTCTGGTTGGAATGGTGACAGCATGCTGGAGCCAAGTGCTAACACGCCTTGGTTCAAAGGATGGAAGGTCACTTGTAAAGATGGCAATGCCAGTGGATCCATATTGCTTGAAACTTTGGATTGCATCCTCCTACCCACTTACCCAACTGACAAGCCTTTGTGGCTGCCCCTCCAGAATGTCTACAAAATCAGTGGTATTGATGCAGTCCCTGTGGGCTCAGTGGAGACTAGTGTTCTCAAACCTGGCACGGTGGTCACCTTTGCCCCAGTCAGTGTCACAGCTGAAGTCAAGTCTGTCGAAATGCACTATGAAGTTTTGAGTGAAGCCCTTCCTGGGGACAATGTGGGCTTCACTGTCAAGTATGTGTCTGTTAAAGATGTCTAGTGTGGCAATGTGGCCGGTGACAGCAAAAATGACCCACCAAAGGAAGCAGCTGGTTTCACTGCTCAGGTGATTATCTTGAACCATCCTGGCCAGATCAGTACTGGCTACTTTCCTGTCCTGGATTGTCACACAGCTCACATTGCTTGCAAGTTTGCTGAGCTGAAAGAAAAGATTGATCGCTGGTCTGGTAAGAAGCTGGAAGATGGGCCCAAGTTTTTGAAATCTGGTGATCCTGCCATTGTTGACATGGTTCCATGTGTGTCGAGAACTTCTCTGACTACCCACTTCTGGGTCATTTCACTGTTCATGATGTGAGACAGACAGTTGTTGGGGGTGTCATCAAAGCTGTGGACAAGAAGGCTGCTGGAGCTGGCAAGGTCACAAGTCTGCCCAGAAAGCTCAGAAGGCTAAATGAATATTATCCCTGACACCTGACACCCCAGTCTTAATCAGTGGTGGAAGACCGGTCTCAGAACTGCTTCTCCCAACTGGCCATTTAAGTTTAATAGTGAAGGACTGGTTAATGATAACAATGCATCGTAAAACCTTCAGAAGGAAAGAAGAATGTTTTGCGAACCTTTTTTTTTTTGTGTGTGTGTGTGGCAGTTTTTAAGTTATTAGCTTTAAAAATCAATACTTTTTAATGGAAACAACTTGACCAAAAATCTGAATTTTTACAGAACTTTGAAACCCATTAAAACAAAGTTTAATGAGAAAAAAAAGTTATGATCTTGTCATTCTAAGGAAGAGTCTCTGAAACGTGTTTTGCCTCCTGGACTTCAATACCCAAAGAAAAGAATTCTCTTTCCTCAGCCAGAACTTCCTAGGGCTCAGATTCAATCATACAGCCCTGAATCCCTTGAGCAAGATTTCTGAAGTTAGTTGAATTGTCGCCATCTCTCTCTCTCTCTCTCTCTCTCTCTCTCTCTCTCTCTCTCTCTCTCTCTCTCTCTCTTTTATTCAGGTGGATCTATGGATTACAAAGGATGTGAGTGAAAATGAAGATATTTCTAGATGATAGTAAAATCCAAAATAAAACCCTGTCATGAATATTGGGTGGCACAGACAAAAATCTCCAAGATCTTCACAGGCAGAGCACAGAGAGTAAGTTATTCCTTAAAAGGCTGGGTTTTACTACAGGACACAAAGTTTGTCAGTAATGTTAATGGAGTGTAATGAGTGTGTGGGGGCAATTCTGTGCACTTTCTGTAGCAGATCTTTCAGAATGAACGTGCATTCAGCTCTCTCAGTGGCATCTGAGAGACACTTCCCGCCAGAAGCAGGCTCAGGGGCTTCTCCTGACAGGTTCTGGAGCCTTCCTAAGTGAGAGTCCAGTCTCTGCTTGCATTCTTGAGAAGTTTACTGATGTCTTTCAGACAGATATCCCACTTGGGAGCAGATGTGCATTTAGGATTTTTGGGGGTGGGGGGACTCTGGAAAGGAACATGCATACTACATCTTAATATTAAGTTTCATTTATTGAAATGTAAGAAGTTTAATACATAAGTTCCATAGATATTAGCTAACGAAAGCAACAAAGTATGCTTGACGGCGAGCCTAGCTCATAAGCTGGTATTTCCTGTTCCCTTTATTTTATTGGTGCCATCCTTGAGTTAGATAATTTAAACCTGAGGAAATAGCACGAAGTCATTCAAGCAAATGTAGAATGAGTTGAAACTATTTATTGGCCATGTATTTTTATTTATGGACTTTAATAGCATAATAATATATCCAGCTGATCAAAGCAAAGATAGTGCTAAAATTTTCTTAGATAATTATCATCAATCCTGTTCTTACAAGTAGCAGCAGCACTTCATTTGACGTATATCTTTCTAAATCATTTTATTTCTATTTATTTAAGTTATATTTCTAGTCATACTATGTACATGGACTGTTTTTTGAAGTCTTTTAAAGTTGTAAATTTTATTTTATTTTACTTTTTTATTTTTATTTTTATTTATTTATTTTTTTTTTTTGGCAGAACCAGGGATTGAACTCAGACCCTTGCACTTGCCAGGGAAGTGCTTATTCTACTGAGCCATCTCTCAGACCCATGTAAATTTTATTTTAATGCATGCATTATTCTACAACTTGTACTTAATTGGTAAACTTTCAAATGAACTCCAATGAATTTGATGGTTGATTATCTTAGATGTTATTTAGGTGCTCAAATCCTTTGTAAATGATAGTAATTTATTTCTTCTGTCTCTGAAAAATACTTCCCATTAGAAGTAGTACTTTCTTTTCTCTGTATTTCATTTTTTCCTGTCTTAGATAGATAAGGATAATGATAATGATGAATAAGTGAATGTCCTGTTGCTCCTTTCTTAAGAATGCTGCTTCTGTTCTCTCGTTCATTAAGTCTGGTACTTCCATTTCTCTTCATAATACTTGTTACATATTTTCTTAGGTTAAAAAAATCTGATGCTAACATTTCTGCAATATCATCACATATTTAGTATTCTTTTGTTTGTGTGTTTTGAGTCAAGATTTCACTTCTAACACAGGCTGGATTTGAACTCATGGTGACCCTCCTGCCTCAGCCTCCGAGGGCTAGAATTATAGGCATGTGTCACCACATCCAGATCTCTCTCTCTCTCTCTCTCTCTCTCTCTCTCTCTCTCTCTCTGTCTGTCTGTCTTTGGGGTCTCAGTATGAAGCCAGGCTAGCCTCATACTTCAGATCCTCCTGCATCAGCCTCTTGAATGTTGGGATGAAGGCATTACTGCATAGGGAGACTCTGTTGCTTAATGTTTTCACAACAGGGATTAAGTTTCAACATATAAATTTGGGAGGGGGCATAAGCACTTGGATCACAGCAAATGCTATATGCAGTATGTACCTTTGATGAAAAGTTCAATTTTTTTTTTTTTTTAGCAGTTTTGGGTGCATGAAAGTTAAAAAAACCCCTTCTTTTATCCAGTTTTGGCAATTTCCATACATTTTTGGGGAAACTGATCATTCTAGTTATGCACACATCTGGATATACTAAATTTGCCACTTTAAAATGGAAAACGTGGTGTTTCTCTCTCAGATCCCAGAGTAATAGTGGCTTGCTCTCTTTCAGCAAATCAATTCTAGCTTCGTACTAATTCAGCAGTCTGTAGGATATTTTAATCCACGTGCTGCTCTAGTTTTTGTGAAACCATGAATGAAGTTAGGTATTCTTTGAGTAAACAGCCAAGAGAAGCTGTTAACCCCGCTGGCAGTGCGCTTCCGTGATGCCTGCTCCCAGAGGACTCCGGGCTGAATTTGCTTTCCATCAGTCCTGTGTGTCCCCTCCCTAGTACCATCTTCAGTCTGTAGTGGCCCTATAGCAATGCGCTTAGGGGCTCTACTGGTCAGCACTCTGTAAAGTTTGTGGATGTTAATTGTAGAGATAGGTCTTTTTTTAAAAAAAAATTATTTATTTATTTATTTTATTTATTTATTTGTGTGACCAGCACAGCCCGCCAGGGGGTGGGGCTGGCTGGCATGTGGTGCTGGGGGATTGAACCGTGGTCCGCTGAGCTTGTTCCAAGTAGGTGCTCTAGACCACTGAGCCATCTCTCCAGCCCCGAGATAGGTCTTTGTTAATATTGTATCCTTGCTTGAGAGAAAAGGTACTTGACATGAGCTGTATCTCTACACAAGATACATTCCTTTACATAGAAGTAATTAGAATCTAATCTGGGGCTTTGGATTGTTGTACCATCATCTTAGTTCATTGGCAGAGTAAAACTGAAATTGACTGTTTTGTTCACTTGAATTATCAAAGGAGTGGATCTGTTAGCTTAATTAAAAGCAAAACAACTGACAAAAATATTACTTTTGAAAACAGTTAACAGTAGCCTAAGGATTTTGATCAGTATAGGTTATTCTGTTGCTGTAGGAGTTAAAACTAACTTGGCAGGGAGAGAAATTTTATGCTTCACACCTGGAGGTTAGAACAGTCATAGAGATGTGAGAAGAACAGGCCAAAAACTGGAGCCAAGAACCCAAAATATAGTACTGTGGGGGCCGGGGAGATGGCTCAGTGGAATAAGCACTTCCCTGGCAAGCGCAAGGGCCTGAGTTCAATCCCCGGTTCCGCAAAAAAAAAA